GTGACACTCATTTGTGCAGGCGTTATTGTTGTTGTTGTTGTCGAGTTTCCGCGCGCCGATTGCTTTGGGCCGGGCCTAGTCAAAGTCCAGGGCCGTTTTTTAGTCCCAGTCCGTCCCTGTGTACGGCCGAAACGAGCTGGCCGTAACACCATCCTTTGGACGGCATAAGGGCTGGTGTGTCAAAGAAGGTCAACAAAGAGTTGGCAGAAAAAAGGTATGTTTTTTTAAATTATCTTTTCACTCCTTTTTTATCTATTATTTATTTATTAAACGGAAATCGCAGGTGAGTTCAACACTACTATTTTATTTCTCAGGCACCGTGGTTGCGGAGAAGAGAAGCTGCCGGGAGACTGGATGGTTGTCCTGGATGATGGGGAAACTCCAGGGTCCAGGAGCCGTTTCCGGGAGGCGCGTCTGCTCGTCCTCATGCTCGAGCTCCTCCAGCGGCCAATGTTACCATGTAATTCTGTCTCATCTCCCTTATCTCAGTATGTTAATTTCTTTATAAAACCTTTTGTTCATTCGTTACCATCTTACATTCGGGATTCTACTGCTTTTATCAATAAGATTTCTTAGTTACATGATTTACCGGATATTTCTTTATTATTAACTATGGACATAACAAGTCTTTATATTAACATTTCACATGAAAAAGGTCTTACTACCCTCAGTCACTATCTTTTGTTACGCGAGGATGCCAGTCCACCTTCACAGTTTATGATTGAGATGGCTTCTTATCTTTTGAAATATAATTATTTCAGATTTTTTTCTTCAGATTAGTGGTACAGCGGGGGGTTTGAATTTTGCCTATGCCAATCTATTTATGGGTTTTTTGAGCAGAGTTATGTATTGAATGCAGAAAATAATCCTTTCTATTCACGTATCATTAAATGGTATAGGTACATTGACGATATTATTGGTATTTTTTTGGGAGATCATGATGAGGCTCGAGAATTTGTGACTTTTTTGAATAACCTGGTTGACGACTTGGAATTTACTTCTGAAGTTCTTCTAGAGTCCACTTCCTGGATATGGGTACAGAAGAATGAAGGCAGTTTGATTACAACTTCGTTAACAAAAGAGACAGATCGCAACACACTTGTACTCGCTACCAGTTTTCATCCCACTTTTAAAAAAAGGACTGCCTAAGAGTCAGTTCTGTAGATTGAGAAGGATTTGTTATTCTGATTCCGATTTTATTGAGAAATCGAATATTATGAAGAATACATTTTTGAATAGAGGTTACCCTTCAGAATGGGTTGATGAAGCATTTAACAAGTCTTTTAAAAAAACGCAGCAAAAAAGTATTCTTTTACTCATATTACGACTCGTTCACCTAAGTCTTACACGATAAAATCAGTTTTTAAAAAACACTTGCATTTGTTGTTTTCTGATCCAGAGTTGAGCAAAATTTTTCAGCATCCTCCTTTGATTGTGTATAAACACGCAAGGAATTTAAAAGATTGCTTTACAAGCTCGTTTTAAGAGTGTTAGTCCTCGTCCATCTCAGAGTTTGATTAGTCCTATACAGAATATGGCAATTATCGTTGTGGTAATTTTAAACATTAAAACAAAACAAACTTTTTTCTGTCTTCCATGAACTGGTCTTTTTTTTCTTCTGAACTTTGATATTACATTTTTTTCCGAACTTTGATATTATTTTCAAGTATGGTTGTAACTGTTTATGATGTGTTGTTAATGATGTATTCTCAATGAGCTTAAGTGGCTACAGAGGGAGCTTTGTTGATTGGTCATGTGTTTATTTTAAATGGGATGAGTTTGAAGATTTGTATATGCCTGATGAAGGTCGTGAGACTGAAACATTGCTAATAAAACATTTGTATATTACTTGCAAGTACTGATAGTGTGCGGGAGTTCCTTATTTGCAGATTTGTCGACCTATTTGGTCTTCTTCCTCTACGCACCTGTCACCTGCAGGTGTGCGATGGCGTTTGTTAATTGGTTATTTGTGCATCACAAACATAGATTAAAAAAAAAAACATTTTAGAACATCGCTCTCATTTTGTATATTGCCACATGCTGACATTATTTATTTATTGTATATAAATATTTATCAATGTATTTATTAGAATATAAGCAGAAAATACAGGAAATTTGTATTAAAAACAGTAAAAAATGTCTTCAGTAAAAAATATCTATAGACCAAAGTAGCAAGTATTAGTGTGTTCCCCTTACAACAGAACAATAGCTTAAACCTAAATTGAATGGAAAAGGACTTGAAGGAAAGTCATTTTTCTTGAAAGAAAAAAAACTTCTTTGAGTAATTGGAAGAAATGCTTCTTTTTTACATTTTGAGTAGGCCTACACATTTCCTGTGTTTTCTGTATGTATCCCAAAAATAAGACCGAAAACTAAATATGGATGGTCATTAAAACACATTGTAACTTTTAAAAGAAAAGCAATGTATCCATTGTACACAACTGTAAAGTAAAATACGTAATATATGTATTTACCCCTAGAACATACACACAGAGAGACAATAGAAATGCTAATTCAAACATCCCTCACTCCCTTCATGGTCTCTGGGATTCAAGACCCACATCGCCACCCAGAGGACATGCATAGGCCATGGTTGTTTATTCAAACACAAATACTAACCTGAACACATATAAACCTACAAAATAACTTAAACAGAAAAGCTGTTTTAGATTTTATATAATCTTTTTATACTTTAAAATAAACTATGCAACATATCAGTAAAACATCTCTGATTACAAGTAATTTTACACTTAAATCAGGATTAGTCTGCTGAAAATGAAGAAAATGTTAATCTGAAGAATTATCTGAAGACTAATAAAGATAATGTGCATTGTCCCTTTTAAAATAAAATAAAGAATAAAAAGAATGGCCAGTTAGGGTATGCAATTATTACCAATTAAAACATCTAATGTTTTACATAATGTTAATACAATTATGTGCAAAACTAATGTTTGCACATAATAATGGCAAACATTAGTTGCAATTATTATCCAATTATTACCACAATCCCATAAAATCCAAATCCACCGCTCACCCTTGTGTCACAGCGCGAGCACGTTAATGCACTCACAGGTACATGCAGGAATCCCAAAAGAGTGAGAGAGCAAAAGGAAACGGAAACGAGCGTCCAGATACGGGCCTGAAAGCGTGAGTCGCTGGTTTATGTGAGATTTTAGCAATTCCGTACGCCGCTCACCCTTGCGTCACAGCGCGAGCACGTTAGACGACCCATGGGTACGAGCTGGAACCCCAACAGGGTGAGAGAGCGAAATGAGTTCGAAGCAGAGGGCCAACAATGAGCCTTAGCGCTCACTGTGACGATACGTGTGTTGATTTGTGTTGATTTTAAAATCCTCACATCGCTCACCCCAAACGAGCAGGGGTGATCAGGGGCGAGCAGGGGCGCGCATGCGCCCGGGAGAGTGGAATGTGGTAAAAACGTGAGGGATGGCTTTTTTGTCGAAATTGCCTGTTTTTTGTTGAACAGGCCTGTGTACATATCGGTACCAGAGTCAAGGACACTGGACACACTCTCACTGGACACGCTCACACTGGACACACTCTCACTGGACACACTCTCACTGGACACACTCTCACTGGACACACTCTCACTGGATACACTCTCACTGGACACACTCTCACTGGACACGCTCACACTGGACACACTCTCACTGGACACACTCTCACTGGACACACTCTCACTGGACACACTCTCACTGGACACGCTCACACTGGACACACTCTCACTGGACACACTCTCACTGGACACACTCTCACTGGACACACTCTCACTGGACACACAGTCACTGGACACACTCTCACTGGACACACTCTCACTGGACACACATTTACTGGACACACTATAGTCTTAGAGCTCAAACATGCCAATCTGGGGCTCAGGTCAGGAAGCAGACAGACTGGCTAAACCGACCGTCTGCTAGCGGCCTCACGTCACTGAGGTCAGATAAATCCCATCACATAGAGCCTCTTTCACCCAGATATCATCATATAGAGACTGTGTCTGTTCCCCGAATTAGGACATACAAAAAACTTTTAATTGATGTTCAACAAATAAAAAACAGATATAATACAAATACCCTGCTAATTCTGTCAGTATTAATGTACGTTCACTGATTCTAGCTTCTCTCTTTTCTGTCTCTTTCTTTTCATGTGAACTGAATAGGTGACACATGCTTACATTCATAAATCTAAACTTTATTTCTATTAAATTTTCAAAATTATTTATACACGTTTCACACATGCCTTTTGATGCAAATAAAAGACGAGAGTGGTTTCAGTGGAATCATTATTCTGCCTGACAGAAAGAAAAGCTCGTACTGAAGGCGGAGCGGTTTGACCAATCAGATGAAAGGGCCGTTTCAGCGCCGCCCACGTGCGCAAATGAAATATCGAACCCATAAACCGATTTTGAAACCACAAACGAAAAATTAAAAATCGAGCCAAAATCAAATTTTTCGTTTTTTAAACTAAACAAAAAAACTGGCTGGTTTTCATTTCTCGTTATTCCATTCCAAACAGGAAATGAAATGAACTACACGGACCCAACTGATCTTGAGTTCTGCTCATATTTTATCACCATTTTGTAAACTATAGCGAATAAACTGATAATGTGAGAAATGTTGAAGGAGTCTGAATAATGTTGCTTTGACTGTATAGTGACTGCTATTGCTCTCTTCATTTGTTTAAGTTGCTTTCGATAAAACTGTCTGCAAAATGATTAAATGTAATGTAAATGTAATATATATAGTGATGGAGCAAGGTGGAGCCGCATCAAAGCAGGACTAACAAAACAATGCCATTTTTATGATCATTTTAATTTTTTTAAATGAATGAATGAATGAATGATGCATTTATAAAGCGCTTTTTTCCCTCATATGTACTACTGTTCACCCATAGCGCTTTACAATCATGTCCGGGGATCTCTCCTCCAGCTCCACAACTGATGGACATGCATGTGCTGGTCTGTGGCGGATCGCGCCGCTGAGGGCTACAGCGTGGAGAAGTGCAGTCGGAGGCTCTTCAGGATCTGCTGAGTGTCCACATGCTCAGGGAACGCGTCCTCAGATCTCTGAGCGGCCGTGAAACTGCTCTGAACATCTCCAACCTTCAGCACAAACACACAGCAGTGAACACTCATGCACAGCAGGACACATGCTCCTCAACTACTGTACATTAGCTTTAAATATGGCTTTATTTTTGTCGTTTCAATTAGTAATACTTAATTATAGCTAAAGATAATAAAATATAAAGGAGAAGGCATATTGTCAAAACAATGACGGAGTAACACAGACAGAGTTACACACATCAGAGTCTCACACACACACACACACACACACACACACACACAGAGTAACACACATCAGTCACACACAGAACACACATCAGTGTAACACACATCAGTCACACACAGAGTAACACACATCAGAGTAACACAGACAGAGTTACACACATCAGAGTAACACACATCAGAGTAACACACATCAGAGTAACACACATCAGAGTAACACACATCAGAGTAACACACATCAGAGTAACACACATCAGAGTAACACACATCAGTCACACACAGAACACACATCAGAGTAACACACATCAGAGTAACACACATCAGAGTAACACACATCAGAGTTGTGAGTCGCACCTTTTCAGAGAGTGTGGCGAAGTTAAAGTGTGGCTCGTACATGTGAGGAGACAACGCAGCAGCCGTCTGCAGGAAAGCTTTCGCCTGGGACAAAACACAAGTCCAGTTACAGCTCTGTTCAATCCTGATACAACACAAGTCCAGTCCAGTGTAGAGACATAAGGAAACAACAAGTAATATGCCATTAAATCTCATTATTCATGTATCCTACACTAGAGTTGTGTGGGGTGGGGGTGAATCAAGCACGGCCTGCTGTGATGTCACAATCGTGTTGCATTGTGGGATATGGAGCTGTCTGAAGTGCACATGTGAGTCGACTGCTTTACTGTTTACCTCCACTGAACACTTTACTGTTTACCTCCACTGAACACTTTACTGTTTACCATCACTGAACACTTTACTGTTTACCATCACTGAACACTTTACTGTTTACCTCCACTGAACACTTTACTGTTTACCATCACTGAACACTTTACTGTTTACCATCACTGAACACTTTACTGTTTACCTCCACTGAACACTTTACTGTTTACCTCCACTGAACACTTTACTGTTTACCATCACTAAACACTTTACTGTTTACCATCACTGAACACTTTACTGTTTACCATCACTGAACACTTTACTGTTTACCATCACTGAACACTTTACTGTTTACCATCACTGAACACTTTACTGTTTACCTCCACTGAACACTTTACTGTTTACCTCCACTGAACACTTTACTGTTTACCTCCACTGAACACTTTACTGTTTACCATCACTGAACACTTAACTGTTTACCATCACTGAACACTTTACTGTTTACCTCCACTGAACACTTTACTGTTTACCTCCACTGAACACTTTACTGTTTACCTCCACTGAACACTTTACTGTTTACCATCACTGAACACTTAACTGTTTACCATCACTGAACACTTTACTGTTTACCTCCACTGAACACTTTACTGTTTACCTCCACTGAACACTTTACTGTTTACCTCCACTGAACACTTTACTGTTTACCTCCACTGAACACTTTACTGTTTACCATCACTGAACACTTTACTGTTTACCATCACTGAACACTTTACTGTTTACCTCCACTGAACACTTTACTGTTTACCATCACTGAACACTTTACTGTTTACCATCACTGAACACTTTACTGTTTACCTCCACTGAACACTTTACTGTTTACCTCCACTGAACACTTTACTGTTTACCATCACTAAACACTTTACTGTTTACCATCACTGAACACTTTACTGTTTACCATCACTGAACACTTTACTGTTTACCATCACTGAACACTTTACTGTTTACCATCACTGAACACTTTACTGTTTACCTCCACTGAACACTTTACTGTTTACCTCCACTGAACACTTTACTGTTTACCTCCACTGAACACTTTACTGTTTACCATCACTGAACACTTAACTGTTTACCATCACTGAACACTTTACTGTTTACCTCCACTGAACACTTTACTGTTTACCTCCACTGAACACTTTACTGTTTACCTCCACTGAACACTTTACTGTTTACCATCACTGAACACTTAACTGTTTACCATCACTGAACACTTTACTGTTTACCTCCACTGAACACTTTACTGTTTACCTCCACTGAACACTTTACTGTTTACCTCCACTGAACACTTTACTGTTTACCTCCACTGAACACTTTACTGTTTACCATCACTGAACACTTTACTGTTTACCATCACTGAACACTTTACTGTTTACCTCCACTGAACACTTTACTGTTTACCTCCACTGAACACTTTACTGTTTACCTCCACTGAACACTTTACTGTTTACCTCCACTGAACACTTTACTGTTTACCTCCACTGAACACTTTACTGTTTACCATCACTGAACACTTTACTGTTTACCTCCACTGAACACTTTACTGTTTACCATCACTGAACACTTTACTGTTTACCATCACTGAACACTTTACTGTTTACCTCCACTGAACACTTTACTGTTTACCTCCACTGAACACTTTACTGTTTACCATCACTGAACACTTTACTGTTTACCTCCACTGAACACTTTACTGTTTACCTCCACTGAACACTTTACTGTTTACCTCCACTGAACACTTTACTGTTTACCTCCACTGAACACTTTACTGTTTACCTCCACTGAACACTTTACTGTTTACCTCCACTGAACACTTTACTGTTTACCATCACTGAACACTTTACTGTTTACCATCACTGAACACTTTACTGTTTACCTCCACTGAACACTTTACTGTTTACCTCCACTGAACACTTTACTGTTTACCTCCACTGAACACTTTACTGTTTACCTCCACTGAACACTTTACTGTTTACCTCCACTGAACACTTTACTGTTTACCTCCACTGAACACTTTACTGTTTACCATCACTGAACACTTTACTGTTTACCTCCACTGAACACTTTACTGTTTACCATCACTGAACACTTTACTGTTTACCATCACTGAACACTTTACTGTTTACCTCCACTGAACACTTTACTGTTTACCATCACTGAACACTTTACTGTTTACCATCACTGAACACTTTACTGTTTACCTCCACTGAACACTTTACTGTTTACCATCACTGAACACTTTACTGTTTACCTCCACTGAACACTTTACTGTTTACCTCCACTGAACACTTTACTGTTTACCTCCACTGAACACTTTACTGTTTACCTCCACTGAACACTTTACTGTTTACCTCCACTGAACACTTTACTGTTTACCATCACTGAACACTTTACTGTTTACCTCCACTGAACACTTTACTGTTTACCATCACTGAACACTTTACTGTTTACCATCACTGAACACTTTACTGTTTACCTCCACTGAACACTTTACTGTTTACCTCCACTGAACACTTTACTGTTTACCTCCACTGAACACTTTACTGTTTACCTCCACTGAACACTTTACTGTTTACCTCCACTGAACACTTTACTGTTTACCTCCACTGAACACTTTACTGTTTACCTCCACTGAACACTTTACTGTTTACCATCACTGAACACTTTACTGTTTACCATCACTGAACACTTTACTGTTTACCTCCACTGAACACTTTACTGTTTACCATCACTGAACACTTTACTGTTTACCTCCACTGAACACTTTACTGTTTACCTCCACTGAACACTTTAATGTTTACCTCCACTGAACACTTTACTGTTTACCTCCACTGAACACTTTACTGTTTACCTCCACTGAACACTTTACTGTTTACCTCCACTGAACACTTTACTGTTTACCATCACTGAACACTTTACTGTTTACCATCACTGAACACTTTACTGTTTACCTCCACTGAACACTTTACTGTTTACCATCACTGAACACTTTACTGTTTACCATCACTGAACACTTTACTGTTTACCTCCACTGAACACTTTACTGTTTACCATCACTGAACACTTTACTGTTTACCTCCACTGAACACTTTACTGTTTACCATCACTGAACACTTTACTGTTTACCATCACTGGACACTTTACTGTTTACCATCACTGAACACTTTACTGTTTACCTCCACTGAACACTTTACTGTTTACCATCACTGAACACTTTACTGTTTACCATCACTGAACACTTTACTGTTTACCTCCACTGAACACTTTACTGTTTACCTCCACTGAACACTTTACTGTTTACCATCACTGAACACTTTACTGTTTACCTCCACTGAACACTTTACTGTTTACCATCACTGAACACTTTACTGTTTACCATCACTGAACACTTTACTGTTTACCATCACTGAACACTTTACTGTTTACCATCACTGAACACTTTACTGTTTACCTCCACTGAACACTTTACTGTTTACCTCCACTGAACACTTTACTGTTTACCATCACTGAACACTTTACTGTTTACCTCCACTGAACACTTTACTGTTTACCTCCACTGAACACTTTACTGTTTACCTCCACTGAACACTTTACTGTTTACCTCCACTGAACACTTTACTGTTTACCTCCACTGAACACTTTACTGTTTACCTCCACTGAACACTTTACTGTTTACCATCACTGAACACTTTACTGTTTACCTCCACTGAACACTTTACTGTTTACCATCACTGAACACTTTACTGTTTACCTCCACTGAACACTTTACTGTTTACCATCACTGAACACTTTACTGTTTACCATCACTGAACACTTTACTGTTTACCATCACTGAACACTTTACTGTTTACCTCCACTGAACACTTTACTGTTTACCATCACTGAACACTTTACTGTTTACCATCACTGAACACTTTACTGTTTACCTCCACTGAACACTTTACTGTTTACCATCACTGAACACTTTACTGTTTACCATCACTGAACACTTTACTGTTTACCTCCACTGAACACTTTACTGTTTACCATCACTGAACACTTTACTGTTTACCTCCACTGAACACTTTACTGTTTACCATCACTGAACACTTTACTGTTTACCATCACTGAACACTTTACTTTTTACCTCCACTGAACACTTTACTGTTTACCATCACTGAACACTTTACTGTTTACCTCCACTGAACACTTTACTGTTTACCTCCACTGAACACTTTACTGTTTACCATCACTGAACACTTTACTGTTTACCATCACTGAACACTTTACTGTTTACCTCCACTGAACACTTTACTGTTTACCTCCACTGAACACTTTACTGTTTACCATCACTGAACACTTTACTGTTTACCTCCACTGAACACTTTACTGTTTACCATCACTGAACACTTTACTGTTTACCTCCACTGAACACTTTACTGTTTACCATCACTGAACACTTTACTGTTTACCTCCACTGAACACTTTACTGTTTACCATCACTGAACACTTTACTGTTTACCATCACTGAACACTTTACTGTTTACCTCCACTGAACACTTTACTGTTTACCTCCACTGAACACTTTACTGTTTACCTCCACTGAACACTTTACTGTTTACCTCCACTGAACACTTTACTGTTTACCATCACTGAACACTTTACTGTTTACCTCCACTGAACACTTTACTGTTTACCATCACTGAACTCTTTGTAGCCACATTGAGATGTGCCTTAATTAGCTCAAA